ACTTGTGTCACTAAAGTTTAGTCGGAAAGAATTTACGGGAAAATTAACTAACGAACGGAGACGTAACAATATATATATTAGAATACGTAAATTGTGGTGAATTCTATACTGGTGAAACAGGTAATTTCAGATTAAGGATAAATATACATCAATTCCATATTAAATGTCCCGAAAAAAGTCTGCTATATGCCAACAAGCATATTAGTGAATGTGTTTTGGAAAAAAATTAAAATTTTAAGATAGCCATATTTTCATGTTTTCCCTTTTTTTGGGCATGTAATTGAAAACACAAAAAATTATTTTTCAAAACTTTTATGGCGCCACTTTTAATGGATATTAGCAAGAGGACTGAAGTAATTGATTGTATAAAGTCAGTAGGGATTGTGAAACTGTTACTAAGACTTACAGAAAAGACAAAAAAGTAAGTAAAAGTATGAAATTTAGAAGAGATAAGTTGAATTTCTATAATAGTAAGAGAAACCATAATTATAATAAGATTTTAATTTAAAAAGAGAAAGTATATTGACTAATTTTATTTATTTATGAGCATTTTTAATATACTTAATTTATACATGGGGTGTATTGTACGTTTCTACATTCGAAAAGTATTTGTATTTAGTTTAGATTATTTAAGTTTATTTGAAAAACGGTATTTGTATGATCTTGTTACAGATTCTCTGTAAAATTATATCCTGAAGAGTGACCTTTGAAGTCACGAAACCGGTTGGAGAAATTAATGAGGGAGAGGAAAAATAGAATAGTCTGATATTCCAGTTTTTAATATTATTATTCATATCCACAGGTGAATCTTATTGATGATTTGGTTAAATAAAAGTGTTATAAACATTTTATCATTACAAACTGTCTCTCAACAACAAGGAATATATTTTGATTGTTACTTTAACTACAATATGCCATGAGGACCTCCCCCCCCCCCCGATGAGTTAGCGGTAAGTTGACAGACTTGCAACACTGACATCCGGGGGTCGATTCCCGCAGTAGACACAGTGCAGATAGCTGTGTACTGAAGAAACAAGATGATAAAACAAAATAAACTATAAGGAAAAGTGGATTTCTGAGATCATTTAACTAGGTCATGATGAGTTTCAACGTAGACTATCTTTGTTTTGGTTTGTTGTGAATTTCGCGCGAAGCTACAAGAGGGCTATCTGCGTTAGCCTTCCATAATTTAACACTGATACAGTAGAGGGAAGGCAGCTAGTTAACACCACTCACCGCCAACACTTGGGCTACTATTTTACCAACGAATAGTGGGATTGACCGTCACATTAAAATCACCCATGGCTGAAAGAGCAAGCATGTTCGGTGACGAGGATTCGAAACCACGACGCTCAGATTTTGAGTCCCCCCCCCCAGTGGTACAGCGGCATGTCTGCGGACTTACAACGCTAGAAACCGGGTTTCGATACCTGTGGTGGGCAGAGCACAGATAGCCCATTGTGTAGCTTTGTGCTTAACTATAAACAAACAAATCATTTTGAGTCAAACGCTTTAACCACACAAACACACACACACAAAAGATTTTATATGGCGCTAAATTGTAGTTAGAATATAAAACTGTTTTACTCCGAAATAATTGTTATATTTTCAACAAAACAAACAAGCGCTTTCTCTGGTATATTACACAATTATATTGCAAGTAACTTGTGGCTTTGTGGCCTGATTCTGATAAAGATAATAAAATATATATTAATTGTAAAATAAGTACGGCTTGACCTAAAAACTTTAAACCACCACATTTTTTCACTCATTTTTAAAACGATATATTGATTATTTCTTTATAACTGAGCAGGATTTAAATTATTGACATTAAAAAATAAAATGAATATTTCTATTATTAAAAACTTCTTTTGTGACGTAATAATTTATCATTTCAAATATATTATGAAATATTTATGTATTAGCTTTTAATTATGTGACAAATAACCGCAATCGGTAACGGAAAACGGTGATGGTGGTTTGTTATATTCGACAATTCAAATACGCATGCGCATAAATCACTATAGTTACCGCAAAAACAAAATTAAAATACAATGAAGAATAAAAAAATAAATACTCCAAGCACTACATAAACAGTTAATCTTTCTTCTATCTGCTCTACTTTTACGAACAGTGGTTGTTATATAGATGTATATTCTTTAATAATAACCAGTGGAACAAATTACCTTCTAGGGTTACGTTCATGCATTTCCAAAAGTCCACCTAGAAGTAAACAGACGGGAAAAAAATAAGTATAACAAACTCGTATAAATGTGCACAAAATATTTAAAGATTATATTATCACATTTCAATGATTTTATATTATAAACATTTATAATCTAATAAACACTGACATTTCTTTCAGTCAAGTGTATATCAAATCTTTTCTACTGTTTCACGTTAAATTTCATATGTTGTGGGTTGTTTTTATCTCTTCTATTTCCCTTTCTGAATTTTAATTTTTCACAAATATTTCTAGTAACAGTCACTAAAAATTTCATAATCCACCCTCCTCTCACCTAATAAATTTATAAACAATTTGCATTTCAGGCATGGTAAGCAAAAAATAACGAAAATTAAACTGTTTTTGTTTCACGAAATATTAATTCAATTTGTTAGGACAACTCTAAAACTACTATGTCCGCCGTTTAAGCATAGTTTCTCTAACACACTAACAAATCTCATTTTTTACCTGCATATTACGTGAAAGTCTTACCGTCATCCAAACTTTTCACAACACTAGGTGTACACAGATATGGATCATGTTGTAACGTGGTGGACTCTTTTTTAATTATTAGGCAAACAAAAATGTCAAGCCCAGTTCATGTAAAGGTAACAAATTAGTATATTTTTTATAACGTTTCAACAGGTTACGTTCACTTTGACACAAGTTATAGACCTAAGTTCATAAATAACGTTTCAACAGTAATTCTTCGCTAATGGTGCTAGGCCTAACTTACAAATAAACTTGGACAATTCCACGACTAATCGATCGAGTCATCAAACATATACACGATAATTATTATCACTAACATTGATCTGTTGCAAATGTTTCTCTGAATGCATCTAGCTCGCCATTTTCTTGCCGATGGATGATCTATGGCTTGGATTGACTGTCGTTCTTCACTTTGTAAACTACATCACTGATTATTTTCAGTACAACTTATAATATTTTCCAACACTTGCTTAACTTTGGAGTTCATACTTTCTTGCAGGGATACAGCCATATCATGTCACCTCGATGAAATCCAGTCTTATCAATATTAACATTATAGTGACTTTTCATTTTATCACACGATAAAGCTGATGTAAGTCTTTCCCGTTTAAAAGCTATGTATAACATAAATTGTGTTCCTTTGTCCCTCTGCATATTCTGTGTAACATTCTGCTGAGTGACTAAGCCTCTGTACAAAAGTTCTTTTAGCACCACACGTTCTCTCCCACAAATCAGTGATGATGGTGTGTTACCTGTAGCTTCAATAATTAGTTAGTAGCAATTGAAGATTATCCCACGTTTTGTTTTTTTAATGTTCATTCACATAAATGTCTAATTGGTTTAAAGTGTATTATTGTACTTATCCACCACGCTAAGAAGGTAAGCGAAGGGCTGTATTCCTGATCTTTTGTTATTCCAATTATATGACACATTTATGCAAACAAGGCTAATTCAAAGTTCTATCCCTGGTAGGGTAAGATTCCATAGGCACCGTTAATCTTGAAACAAATTCGTTGTCGAGTTTCCTTGCTATAATTTCTGTCTCGTGATTAGAAACAACATATGCTTGTGGTCATTTGGTGAAATAATCCACAATAACTCTTAGGTATTTATTCTGTGGAACCAAGCATATCAACTCGTGCCTCAACACAATATTGCTGTTGTTGCCCCATGCTCTTTTTTTTTTCATGAACCTTTTCACTCACAGCATCACAAGATTTTCACCAACTCTCCACAGATCCTCGGCACAAAACTCAATAAAAGTACTCTTTTGGTCTCAGTGTCATCCCAAAGAGTCCAGTGATGGAATGGTGTGGAATGTAGAAATAGTGGAAGTACCAACTGTAGTCGTTGTTTATGTTCATTATTAACTCCTCATTTTCAATATAACAAGCCCTCTTGTAAGTATATTGAATCCCACTGTGACCAATATGTTTTCGGCTTCAGGATGTGACTGGAGTGACTGTTTGCCGTGTGCTATTATTTATCCATTGAATAATTGATTTCAAACTTGCATCTTTTGCTTGAGCATCTTTCGGTTGAGTGTTGGACCACATTAGTTCATCATCACTTCTGGATGTCACATCTTGGACTATACTCTATTGTAGTTTAGGTTGATCATTTTTATTATTTCGCGATTTCTTTTTTTTTCAAAGTATTTATATTTTTCATTAACATGTGGTCTTTGGGATGATTCGTCAACATATTCATGATTCCATATAGAGCAATGCACAATCTTAAAGTTGCATCTCTTACATGTCTAGAGTCATTTTCCTATCTGGACTTCTGGATTGCGAAAATTCACCAGCCATTTCAATGTTGCGTGATGTGTCTGGTGTACCCCCACCAGTAGCACAGTCTGCAGACTTACAACGCTAGAAACCGGGTTTCGATACCCGTGGTGGGCAGAGCACAGATAGCCCATTATGTAGCTTTGTGCATAATTACAAACAAATGTGTCTGGTGTGTAAAGATTTGTCCGTATCGATATGATGGAAATGATTTAGGGCTTCAACAACACTTAGAACCTCTTTTCGACTGGTATAGTACCTTCATTCTTTGACTTGCTATCATTGATAGCAATCGTGTATTCTTTTCCATGCTGTATTCACGATAATACTGCAAAATCACTAGCATTTGCATCTAAAATGAGCGACTCTTCAAGAACGATGTATGGTTAAATCTTCCTTTAGTTTATTGAATACTTGTCACAATAATCACTCCAACAAAACGTATTTGGTTTTTCGAACTAGTTGTGTAGAAGACAAGTTATGTTAAAGAACTGTTTTACAAACCGACAATAATAAGCAAATTCCATGGTGTTGGCCAATTCTGGAAAGATTCAGTCTTGGATGGGCCTATGGGCACTCCTTTTCTCCTGATTCTGTGTACCAGGAAACTCAATTGTTGACGGAACAATTCAAATTTCTTGGAATTCGGCTTAAGTTTCTCTGTTTTCAACAGACCCAAAACTGTCCTTGGCCAATCACAAGCGTTATCAACGGTCTTTCCATGTGAAATTATACCATTCAAGTACATCAGTGCGACGTACCATGGTATTTCAGAGTGAGAGTACGCTCCATTAATGGGCCTGGCATGGCCAGGTGGTTAGGGCGCTCGACTCGCAATCTGTGGGTCGCGGATTCGAATCCCCCGTCATACAAAACATGCTCGCCCTTTCAGCTGTGGGGGCGTTATAATGTGATCAATCCCACTATTCGTTGGTAAAAGAGTAGCCCAATGGTTGGCGGTGGGTGGTGATGACTAGGTGCCTTCCCTCTAGTCTTACACTGCTAAATTAGGGACGGCTAGCGCAGATAGCCCTCGTGTAGGTTTGCGCGAAATCAATAACAAACAAACAAACGCTCCATTAGTCGCTGAAATGTAGCAGGCGCATTTCATAATCCCACTGGTAACACAAAACATTGCCACAATCTTTTCCTGCATTAAAGGTTGTCTTCTCTCTACTTACTTCATTGACACATACTTGCCAACATCTACTCTTAAGATTCAATGTTTATAACCATTTTGGTCCAGATAGAACATCGAAATCATGGTCAATCCTTGTCAGTGCGTAGGCATCCTTCAGTTTTGTCATTATCACCCTTCCTGCACTTTGTTGATATCTTTTTACACTTCTTCAGTTTTGTCATTATCACCCTTCCTGCACTTTGTTGATATCTTTTTACACTTCTTCAGTTTTGTCATTATCACCCTTCCTGCACT